CCCCAAAACCCCAAAACCCCAAAACCCCAAAACCCCTTTCACATATAAGCAAGCGGATAATTTTAGAATAATTTTTAAATGGCCACGAACATTTCGAACAGTTTTGTGAATTCACAAGTATCAGTACTAACAAGGACATGGGATACAGCTTCCTTAACCTATAAGTATGTTGGTGCATGAGCTTTCTTGCTATTGGCTATCCTGGTATTCCATACCTTGATGTCCTTATACGAAGCTTATGAAGATAACCAATGTCGAAAGAAAACAGAGAATGTTCCCTCCCTTGTTCCTGATGGAATCCCTCCTGCTGTAAGGAAGAAGAAAGAAAGAGTTTTAATTAACCATAAAATTATTGAGGAAAGATTTAAGAAATCTTTGATGAACCAGAGCTACTCTTTTCCTCGACATGAGGATTAAGCACTCGGAGTAGCTTTGCCTCTACCTGATTTACTCTCAGGACTAAGTTATCTTTAATATAATTGTGTTCTAAGTACTATCAATAGTAGCAAGATTAGTAAGGTGAGGTTCTCCAAACACAGCAACTAAAAGCTTAGTGAACACCAGCTAAGCAAAATTTCTGCAAAAATAGCAGAATTTTATGGAGTTTTCCAGAAAATTTTAATGAAGGCTGTGGATACCTCCTTAGCATAAAGTGTAGCATTTTGTTATTGATTAATGAGTAGACTAGGCTCAAACAGAGATTAGGAAGAACAAGCCATCAGCTTTTAACGACCTATTAAAGAATTGATGAGTAAGTATTACTAATATCTGGTGAATGATCCCTTTACATCACTCATATAGCCTACCTTCTCTTCTTTGTGTTAATCAAGCCTTTTACTTTCTGAAAAGAGAATTTTCACCAAGCTAAGGAACTCCCAAGAAGAGCAGACACAAACTTTACCTTATTAAGAACTTACAGAGGTTGATAGAAACTAGAACAGTGATTCTGAATAGAAACTGATCCTATGAGAAATTCTTGAGGCAACAGGATACTCAATAATTTATTTAATAATAATTTTACCCAAAAACAATTCTTTCCCTTTCACCTACTCAATGGATATAAGCAATATGTGAGGTCTATTTTTTGAATTTTATAAATCCACTAATTCAGAAATTTGTATGCCTAATTCTAAATTCACTAAAGTTGTGATTGGTGAAAGTTTCAAATTTTAATTTCTCTCTTATGTGTGGAAAGAATATAACCAAGTAACCAACCTTATTTTCTATATCTCTTAACTGAGCATAACATAAAATAACCAAAAATCAAAATCCCCATAAATTTTCCAAAAATTAAGTTGTGTACCCTCAAAACAATCTTAATCCCCATAAACTACATTTAATAAGATTTTATACTATTTTCCAAACACCCCATCCTCTTTCTCCACTTCTCCTTCCTCCAAATCTCCAAACCCACTCACAAACCTCCTATCGCTCTAATACAAACTACACCGACTCCTCTATACTTCCTTTTCCTCTTTCCACTCCTTCGGCCTCACTCCTTTCATGTTCAGCAACGACCCACCCTAAAAGTATTCAGATTTTAATATGAACAAATCTTGACTATGAATCGAGGATGAACAGTAAGCAGGTAGTAACAAGGGCGGAAAGAAGAGTTCAGCGGAGGTAGCACCAGTGAGGATGAAGTAGACTGAGAAGCAGAGGGGAAGAGACATTAAGTGTGGATTGGATGAGGTAGAGAGGAAACTTGGGTGGCTGAGGAGATTAGAGGGGAAGCATTTTCAATGGATGTTAAGAAAAAGGGGTTTTGGGGTTTTGGGGTTTTGGGG